CAGCCCGGTCCTTTCCTCAGGTCGTCGGGTCTGAGTCGGCTGGGAAGGTGGCTCTGGCAGCTGGCTGTGCGGCGTGCCTTCTGGGGGAGTGAGACTGGGAAGGAAGGCTGTGGCGCACAGGGAAGGGAAAGAGTGAGTGAGAGAGGCTAGAGGGTTGGAAAAAATGGGCAAGGCAGAGAGGAGGAGCATGAAATGAGCAACGCAACACAGCCAAGCCAACAGGCAATCCTCAGACTCACGAGACAGGCGAACAAGAGGCATCTTGTAAGCTTAGATTATTCTCGAGTGACTAGCCACATATGGGCTGGGAAGCGCGCAAGGAACACAAGGCAAGGTAGCAGCGATAAGGGGGGAAAAGGCAAAAAAGAGGCAGAGGCGATGCGAAGCCTGCAGTGCCCAGGATCGCGAACTCGCGCAACCACAAGCATCAGCAACCACATCGACAGGTGTCAACCATCAAGAAGGAGACATCATCGCATCGAATAGAGGTCACGAGATGATGGAAACAGCACTTACAACTCTATCGGCGGCCCGGGGGTGATCGGGATGGGGGTGCGAGGATTGGGAAGGGGGAAAAAAAAAAAAGGGTACGACTTTGGGGCGGCGGCGGAGGGAGGCAGTACAGCTTCGGGTCGGGACAGGCCAGAACAGAAAAGCAGAATAAGAAGAAAGCCTCAAAGCAAAAAGCGATGGGGTGGGCAAGCGACCAGCAGCAAGCAAGCAAGCACTGCAACAGAAAGGCTGAGAGAAGAACGAGATAGAGAGAGAGAGAGAGAGGGTGTGCCTGGTCTTACCTAACAAATGCTACTCAAAAGCGATGGACAACAGAAAGCAAAAGTAGCTTTGTTGGCGGCGGCGTCCCGAATCAGAGGCAAAGGCTGCTGCAGCTTGGAACACTGATGAGAGCCGGGCTGAGAGTCGTGGATATTAGAATTGGAAGGGAGGGTCGATGAACTGTGAACTGTGAACTGGAACTGAGCTGGCTTCCCATTCGAACTGGACGCGACCGAGTGAGAGTGTGTCCTTAGGTTCCTGGCTGTGTCGTGTCTGTCAAGTCAAGTCCTGCTCCTGCCTGCTTCTTCCAACTCTCGACAAATCAGCAGAGACTTTGGGGGGCTGTGCTGCTGCTCCATTGGTTTCATCCGCCCACCGCCAGGCAAATGTTCCCAGACGCGCTTCCCTTCCGTCTACGGACTAGCGTTGTTTGGACTCGGTGGAACCCAGAGCCCGGAGAGAACCGAAGAGCCAATGAAATGTCTTTGTTAGTGGTCAGATACCAGAGCAGTGTCTGCTGTTAACATTTTCCATCAGTGTCTTACCAAACACTACCAGATTGGTGTCCACCAAGTAACGTCCGCGTATTACTTCCCTCTTCCTCCAAAGAGTCACCTAAACCGCATCTGCTCACCTCGGGCAGAATTGCTGCTCTCACTGTACCGAATGTGAGGAATGGTGTTTACCGCTGTTGTTGTCGAGTCATCCCCCTTCCTCGTGATAGGTATCAGCGAGCATTCCGATGCCCATGTTCCCCAAGTCGTCTGCGCTTGTCCATCCCCATCTGGAGTTCACAGTCACGATGACCCTCTCCTTCTCTCTCTGTGCCGATCATCGTTCCGAGGTAGTGTCGTATGGTCTTCCTTCTCATTTCCCATGATCGAGCCTGGAGTGCCTTCCTCAAATCCCCGTCTCTTTTCAACATATTTCTCGAGCCCATAAGGCCGATAAACAAGTCACTGTTTTCTGCCTGTATGGCATATCTGCATGATCCCCGAGACCAATCCCAAGACTTCTTGAGCATACAAAAAAAATATTCCAGACAACAGTTGGTGCCGCCTCTGGAACGACACATTTTGAGCGCCATGGGTTCCGCTTGTAAAGAATGCCCGCCCATATGACGATTATGAAAGATCGTTTTGCTCTGATATGTCCTGTGCATATCCTTCAAAAGTTGATATGGCTGTCCACGGATATATTTTCTTCGACCAAGCGGTCTGCTCGGGTCGCAGGAGTACGGGAAAGAAATGAAAGCAGAAGAAGCCTGTCAGTCGAAAAAAGGCGTGAATAGAGAGTAGGCAGCCAGATGCCCGGGTGCAAAGATGGAAGGCGACGAGCTACCTCGCGAAAGATGATCATGTCGTGAGGCGATAACAGCGTCTGATAGCAATGCCACATCCGAAACCTGCATCGACTAGTTGGAAGATGGCGGGTATGTAGATAGGTGTGTAGGTGTGAGAGCGAAGGAGTGGCAATGTGACAGACTCAACTCGATCCAGCGTCACGGCAGCCAACTTTAGCAAGCCGTATTACGTCGCACGTCGCTCCGTCACTGCGCCTGGTTGTGCGTTTCCCTATCACCATCCGCAGGGGTGTAAGAACACGGCGTCTAGTGTAAGTGGGGAAGGCCTTGCCTTGTGCAGATAGTAGGGGAAGGTCGGGGGCGCAGAAGTCTGCATGATGTGCGAACCGAAGGAAGCAAACAAGTCGAAGGAAGGTAAAGGAGACGAATTGCCGCGTGTGGTTGTCGTCGTCGTTCGAGTAATAAATGTTGCATCTGTGACATGGCTCAGGTCGAAGCGGCCATCACATCCCCGTCAGAATCACCCAACATCGGCGCCAGTGATTCTCGGACAGCCCATAATGAGACTTCCATTTCTGCTGTTCGTTGGCACGTTGGCAGACACACGATAGAAACTGAAGCGTCGAAACTCTGCGGCGGTCTCCGAATTGGCATATATCAAATGGTCTAAGCCAGAAGGTTTCGAGTCTCTTTACTGGCATGGCGCCACGGTAAGGGTAGGTCGCAGTAGCAGTGGCAGTAGCAGAAGGCTGTAGCGACAGCGGTAGCGGTAGGGTCCAGGCTGCTCTCAGGGTTGTTTCGTCATTTCTTTGGCGGGATCCCATGTCTGGCGCAGTTTGGCCTGGCCCGGTGCCGGCCCCGTCACGGTCATGGCCCGCATGGCTAGTCCTAGGAGGCTTTCTACTCGTGCCTGCGCTCGATAGTTTGCTGTTGCTGTGTCGCAGTGATGCTTGGGAGGTTTTTTTCGGGTCGATTGGGCTTAAACGTGTCCGTTTTTTCTGGCCACTTTTGGGTCCTTGTTCTTGACTGCCGGTCAAACATGAAGAGGGACGAAGGCTGCGGCACTGAATGAAGCCTGAAGGCCTGGCCATTCATGGTAGTCGCTGGGTTGGAGATTCTCGCCCACTGGGTCCAGATACGGCCAAGCACCCTGGTCGACCCCGTCCGTCGAGTGGCCCCAGACAGGCCATGACTGTTTCGACCCTTTGTGGGAGGGAGTCTGCCCTCAGCGTCCTCTGCTGAATCGACGTGTTCCTGGCGAAAGCGAGGCTTCACCGAATTTCTCTCACTCCATCGACTTTGGTTTTTTTTTTTTTTTGGCGACGGTCGTCTTTTTTCGAGGTCGAATGATCCGTTGTTGTTGTTTCCGGGTCCAGCTGGTAGAACTTACAAGGTCCTGACGGTGGGAAAACGGTGGTGAGGCCTTGGGAGGGGCTACCGTTTCCAGATCAGCAGACGCCGGTGTCAACGGCCCGTAAAAGGGCGACAGCGCAGACTGGAGAGAATTGCAATAATTTTGCAACGACGAGGAAGAGCAGGAAAGGAAAGCAGCAGAGAAGTGAGGGAATGGTCAGAAAAGAGGAGGAAAGGGAACGGGGGCAGGTTGGGCGATTTATGTGAATTAGAGTACATGGCGGATGTACCTCCGTGCTGGTACTGGTGCTGGTGTCGGTCCTGCGCTCCTCCCAGTTCGGACCCATTACCTTTACAGTGCCTGCCCGTCCCTGCTCGACGGTGTCGGACAAGTGCAAAACGGTAGCTAACCCCTCCGATGAGCTGGGCACTTCCTGCCTTCCTAACCTTTGATTCCATATTTACTCCGTCCGGCGGGTGATTCTCCCAATGTCTTCGCTTTCGTGCCATCCTGTCCCTTGTTTAAGGTAACTCATGGAAAGAAGGAGCAAAGTTGGGCTGAGGAAGTTGCAGCCACCCATGTGTCATGCGGGTGCTGGTGGGAACGAGGAAGGAACGTTTGTGACCCGATTGAAAGGCGAGGAAGGTACCTGCCCACCCGACCTTCTGAGGAAAGTTGGCTGCCAGGTGAAGCAGGTGCGGGTGGTCAACGTACCTCAGTTGCTTCCTTACCTCAGGTACATTAAGGTAGAATAAGCAGGAAGATAAAGCAGGAAATACCAGGCCACTTCAAGGTGAGATCTGGTATTGCAACGAGAGGAAAGAAAACCCTTTCGTGACTGCCTACCCAGCTGCGTGCTTTCTGTGGGAATGGAGCTGACGTCGGGGCGGGCTTTGGGGGGAGCGAGGGGGTAGGGAAGCCTCGGAAATCAGCCATCATCACCTCCCGTCCTCCCCCATTCTGATAGACGCCTCATTTAGACCGTGTCAGTAAGGTACTGAGTAGAAATGGTCGGGGTATTTCACTTGTACGCACCCGTCAATGGTTTCTGCTTCTTTTCAGCCGTCTGTTCCCCTCTCCTCCCATCATACACCTTGCTCACGCCATCTCAATCATCCCACCGGATTTCTCGTCTTTCTTCACGTCGGATGTGTGCTCCTACAAATACCTTACGTTCAGGCACCTACTTTCAACAGCAAGAAGATCCTCCATCCAGCAGTAATCGAGGACCAGCTCTGCATATCCACGTGTGGCCCCTTTTTCTCCGATTCACGTTATTGCGAGAGACACGCCCTGTCGAATAGCAAAATGCAAATTCCTGCCTCATCTCATCTCATCTCATCTCATCGCTTGCTCCGGCCTTTCTTCCCCGCCGTTCCTCAATCTCGCGCCCTTTCTACCTTAACCCACAGTCCAATCCAATCCAATCTAAACCCAGTTCAAACGCACGGCTTCGTCTTTCCCTTTGGCCTTTGCCTTTGCCACGCTGGCTGTGTGGTAAGGTAGCTGGTTGGTTGGCTACTAGGCCCGGCCTGGCGCATCTTGTCTCTGCCACGCCGCTCATCAAGGATGGTAGCTTCGGATCCTCTTCTCGTCTCTATTTTTCCAATAACCTTTTGTTCCCTTTTTCCTGTCTCATTGCGGCCAAACATGGAATGGATGTGCTGCTCCGCGCGAGGGCACCTTCATCTGCCTGGATTCCCATGGCTTGAACCCTCCTCGGCTATCTTTCCTGTTTGTGTTGCCGTGCCTCAGTGCCTCAGGGTAACCGTAGCTAAGGTAGGTATTGGATGGGGATGGAGGTCCAAAGTAGTCTCCATTCATGGATGTCACCAAGCCCAGCATCGGCCCCATCCGGGAGATGATGGGACGAGAGACGAGACGTGGATGCGCACACTGCACTGCACTGCACTAACCACACGAGATAGAAAACCACCATCAGCGCTTGCTTCACATCACCTCCAGCTTTGCTCGATCTTGACAAATCCCTGTCAGCTGTGCCTCTACTCGATCTTGTACAGCCTCCATCAGGAAGAAGAACTTTCAAGCATCGATTCCCACCTCAGCCGGCGCCATTGCTACTTTATTTCGCTCGCATCACTTTGCCCTTCGCTTCACCGCTCGAACCGATTCAGACTCATACCTCGACGGTTCCCATGTTTCTCCACTCTTGGGCACCCTTGTTGTTGTGGCCAAGCACCCAAGATGCCGGACCGCATGGATGGCCCGCCATTCACATTTACGAATACTCCGTACAAAAGCGTCCCTCCATCCTCGCCAAACCCCCCTCACCAACCCTGAGGCAGTCAATGCCAAAGTTCAGGGACTGCTTAGGTAGAACGTCGCGGGCATTGAGATAGCTTCTCGTTTCGCTCCCATTACAATGCAAGGAAAGCTCCAAGCTTTTGAGCACATCCTGAAACAAATCACCGCCATCACGGGCGTGAGCGTTTCCTGGTGGGTGCAGATCTGCCCAAGAAAAGGCGCACCATCCAACCATCCATCATCATCCCTTCCGAGACCCAAATCTGACCAGCAAACGCCAAAGCTTTAACGCCCGCCAGCCTTGATCTCGGCCCACCTCCCCTCACACCCGACATGGCGAAATCTCATGGAAATCTCATGATTTGTAGTGATTCAGTTCCATATGAGTGTGAGCGTACAGGCTTGCCGCTCTCCGATATAACGAAGCAAGCATCCGTAGCAAGACTACATAAAAAAAGAACAGACTGGGAGGCCTGCCTTTCTCATGGAGCGCGAGCAACAAAGTATCCCTTCTCTCTCAGCAGGTTGTGCTCAGTATTGGAGCACGGTATTGGTGCGAGATCTCAAATTATCTTCCCCTTAACAGTCAGGATAATGGTACAAGACCATTAGAAAATGAGTTTCTGGCAACACTTGCATACATGGTATGTACAAGAGTTCGTCGAGTCCTGTTCTCCTCTGCTATCCACGGATAGTCCAGACTCCAGCATCCCTCCCCGCCATCTCACCCCCCCTTGTGCTACCGTCCCTTTCCCAACCCTGCACATCCGCTCTGTGACCAATCTGCACTGAGCTGGTTCAAACGGAACTTGTCTAGCGTAAACGTCGGCTCCACTACTTCTGTGGGACACAGACCTTCGACGGCGCCGCCAACCTGGATGCCCGATGTTTGTTGTTGGTTCTGCTGCTCCAGGTCATCCCGATACCTATTTATCCTGTAGATGATTGCTATTATGTTATGAGAGACAACAAGTAGGAAAGCATTGATGTCCATCTCGATCATTGCGTCCACAGCTCGTGTTACTTACAACTGCGGCGTAAAAAAGTACCGAAGCAGGTGTCTGGTCTAGGCCTCTTGTTTGAACATACCTTGAAACATGAAAGTGATATCTGAATTGATTGGCCTTGCGTCTAACATTGTCAAATAGGAATGAATTATCTTGCCCATAGTTTCACGAGTTGCAAATCGATGTTGTTGATAATACACTGCAGGAACAAATCTCACTACAAATAAGTGAGTCGAATTCAGCTTCGCGATACACTGCAATGAGAGTCTCGTGTCGTGCCTTTTCGATGTGTTGCGCATCTATCGACTGAAACGTGCCAATGAGCCTTGTCTTTCCTGTGCGTAAGGTTGTGAAGAGCGATACTTTTCACCTTGATTGGAGCCCTGTGGGACGCAAGCCTAGAGACGCAATGGGAAACGCAATCGAGGTCATCGTAGGATCGAGCTCATGATGAATTCCAACTGCTGGATGATAACATGGTGTACTTACATTCCAATTCCATGAGGTCAAGCCCTCGATAGACTCCGTACATGAAGTGGAGTCCACGGGTTGTCTGTCGCGTTTCTCATGTGCGCGAACCTGTGTTGCCATTCTCACTTGGTTTTGGAACCAATTTCAAATACAGAAAGAAATTCAGCAGAGAGGGTGTGCTTAAGCAAAAGACGATTTGATGCCCTAGAATATGATAATGATAATGTAGGAACCATCTTTGAGCGCTTGAACCGAAGGCTGCTTCTTGTTGAGGCTTTATGCCTTCACGACCAACTTACATGCTGCCCTCGAGACGGGAGTTCGGTGAGAGAAGATGTCACCACGGTGAGCATGGCACGTGAGCAAGCCTCATTTCTCATCAAGGTGTGGCTCAAATCCACTTTACACGACTCACGGACCACCTCCCCCCGCTGTTGCTCGTTGCCCTCCGCTGTGGCAGGACCCCGGTCCCCTGAGGACTTGAGTCCCGAAGGGCGTAGGCAGGCACGCCGCACGCAGAAAAGACCGGGCGGGCAGGCTCAGAGGCTGCACCGGCCGTCATGCGTTATCGATAACCAAAAATTTCTTTACTTCCGACCGCGTCGCGTCCCGCACTTGACTCTTGACTCTCTTTCTTCCCTCCCCTCCATTCTGCCAAACAAGAGTTGATCGCCACCAGACAGCCTCGCCCCCCATCTTGAACGTATACGATACCCTTCTTACGAACGATTTTTGTTGTCCTGTCGCAAAAAAATCAGCCATCATGCGTTACGTTCTCGTCTCAGGCGGTGTCATCTCTGGAGTGGGCAAGGGCATCATCGCCTCTTCCACGGGTCTGGTGTGTATCCGAATCCCTGTTGAAATTTCCTTATCTACGGGCTGTGACTTCACACTCTGAGACCACACTTTGAGAGCTTTGCCACACCAAGCCATTGGGGATAGCGGGGTGTTTTCTTCATGGGATCTCACAGCCATATCATGCATGCATGCAATGCAGCCAGCCTCGAATGATGCATCATTGCTAACGGTTGGGGTTTCCATGAACAGCTCCTCAAGACCTTGGGACTGCGCGTCACTAGCATCAAGATCGACCCGTACCTGTCGGTGAGTGAAACCTCCCCTGAACCCCTCTCTTGACCGTGTGTCCCAGTAACTGACGATGACATACAGGTCGATGCTGGTCTTATGGCTCCCGCCGAGCACGGCGAATGCTTTGTGGTTCGTATTCCTTGAACCCTGGAGTGCCATTCCTGGTCCGGGGCATAGGGACTAGTGTCTCTATCCAAGCCACACCTAAGATGATGAGGTGTTGGTAATTCTCGGAGCAGTCTGTAATGTTCTGATTTGACGGTAATCGCTGACCATCATCAGTTGCACGATGGCATGGAGGTAGATCTCGGTAGGTGAACCTCTGGACGACAGCTGGCCCATGGATCCCTCCCCCTTTTCTCCCCCGGGGGAGAAGCTATTGCCATTCTTATCAATCGCAAATCTCTGACAACGAGGCTCGCACACAGACCTGGGCAACTACGAGCGCTACCTCAACATCCGTCTGACGGGCGAGCACAACATTACCACCGGCAAGGTCTACAGGCATGTCATTGACAAGGAGCGCCGCGGCGATTACCTTGGAAAGACGGTTCAGGTGTACGTTTGGCCTCCACAGGTTTACCTACATCTTTCAATTTGCTGACAGATGCCAGCGTGCCTCACGTCACCGATGCGATCCAGGACTGGATCGAGCGTGTTGCCAAGATCCCCACAGACGACTCCGGCGAAGAGCCCGATGTCTGCATTATCGAGCTTGGGTAGGTTTCCAGCTAGCCCCCTTTCCAACATATAACCATATACCTGCAAACCGGTTCTTCGATTCGAGATCGCGTCTTCACGAATATCAGTCGGTTCAGATGCTAACATGCTACTACAGAGGCACAGTCGGTGATATCGAAAGCGTACGTTACTCCGGAGACGTGCTAGACGAAGAGGTCGTACTTTTTGAAGCATTTGAAGCATACTAACACCACATCTAGATGCCCTACGTCGAGGCATTGACTCAATGTTTGTGCTACAAACTCTCCCGGGCTGGTTCGACTGCTGACCTCTCATAGTGCGCCACAGAGCCGGAAGCGGCAACTTCATTCAGATCCACGTCTCCTACGTACCCACCATCCACGGTGAGCAGAAGACGAAGCCCACACAGCATGCCGTGAAGACGGTTCGCAGTTACGGCCTGGTTCCTGATATGGTAGGATTGGTTGTTTCTGATGGTTCGTCCCACTGCTAACGACTGCCCAGATCGCCTGCCGCTGCGAGCAGCCCCTTGAGGAGGCTACGGTGAGAAAGATTGCCCTTCTTTGCCAGGTCGACGTCCCTCAGGTCCTCGTCGTTCGCGACATGCCCACCATCTACCAAGTTCCTCTCCTCTTGGAGGAGCAGAACCTCATCCCCTGGCTGCGCAAGGCCGTCAACTTGGACGCTCTGTCCATCCCTCAGTCTCGCATCGCCGAGGGAGCGGCACTATGGAAGACATGGGCTTCCGTCGTCAGCCGCCCGTACGACGGTGAGATCAACATCGCCCTTGTCGGCAAGTACGTCAAGTCTCAGGACGCCTATCTGTCCGTTGTCAAGGCTCTGGAGCACTCGGCGATGCACCTGCGCAAGAAGCTCAACATCTGCTGGGTTGATGCCGAGCATCTCGAGATCCAGGCCAAGTCCGCGGATCAGGCCCAGTACCACAAGGCATGGCACGATGTCTGCACCGCCTCCGGTATCATTGTCCCCGGTGGCTTCGGTACCAGAGGTACCGAGGGTATGATGAAGGTTTCCAAGTGGGCGCGTGAGAACGGTACCCCGTTCCTCGGTGTTTGCCTTGGTTTCCAAACTGCCATCATCCAGTACGCCCGCGACTTCCTCAATATCGCTGACGCCACCTCGGAGGAATTTGATGCTCAGGCCGAGAACAAGGTCGTCATCTACATGCCCGAGATCAGCCGCGACAAGCTCGGCGGTACCATGCGCCTCGGCTTGCGCCCGACCGAGTTCCAGCCCGGCAGCGAGTGGTCTAAGCTGCGCGCCCTGTACGGCGAGGCCGACTCGGTGGAGGAGAGACACCGCCACCGTTACGAGGCCAACCCGGCTTACGTCGAGAAGCTCTCCGAGGCCGGCTTGAACTTCATCGGCAAGGACGACACTGGTGAGCGCATGGAGATCTTTGAGCTCCAGAACCACCCCTATTTCGTTGGAACCCAATTCCACGCAGAGTACCAGTCCAAGGTCCTCAACCCTAGCGTACGTTTGCCCACCCATATCCCCTTCCCTCGCGTGATACTGACAAGCAGGACAGAGACCCTACCTCGGCTTCGTTGCCGCCAGCGCGGGCTGCCTCGACCGCGTGGTCAAGGAGGAGCTCGCCGCTTCCAAGCAGGCCAACGGCGCCAAGCACGTCGTTTAAGAATCTGTTATCGATTTCGCATTTTTTCTTCCAGCATTTCTGAAAAGACGGGATACACGACAAAGAATGTTTATCTCAAAGTAGACATGACATGGGCAGGCAAGGCATCCGAGAAGGCAGTTGGGATTGTTTTCTTTTTCTTTACTCAAATCACTAGAGATTATATTGGGCTATCCAGAAATGAACCAACCAAGACAACTCATGAATGAACGCGCGTCTGATTAGATGGGGAACTTATCTTGGGGGCAAGGCGGATGGCATTCTCGGCGGCGCGGGCGTTTTCTTGTTTTAAAATAGGATAAAATCTGCATGTTAGATCATCCTGGGTTACAAATATAGGGAGAATTGCTCTCATTTTCAATCTTGACTGCACAATGCTGCATCTTTTCCAAACGTGCACAGCAACGATGACCGGCCTGCTTGGCCTTTCTCCATTCACCATGGGTTTTCCTTAGTGCAATGTTCCTGTGCTTTGGATTCCCCTTGGCGGATAGGGATAAGGTAGATTTTGAGTGCCTACAAAAAGATGGGTTCACGAGAATCATGCCAATGCATCTGCCGAAGCACGGAAAAGCTGCCAGCTGCGAAGCATACTCCAACGGACGTATTTCCCGCCAATGAAGGTCTGGCGGTTATGTTCATTGAACTTGCTTGTTTGGAACCCTAGGATATGAATGCATCTCACACTGGTCAGCTGCGCACGTGGACATATCGGAGCCATGTTACTATCTTGGTTTGTTATAGGGTTAGAGCGAGATGCGGTGATATGAGCTGCCGTCTTGGCGTAAACGTGGGATTTCTCGTACGTCTTGTATCTTGTCGTTGGTTCGTCTGGATCGTCACCCCGCAGTGAGAGTGAGGGGTGCATGCGGCGACATGGGGATGTTTTCGGGGTGAGGGATGAAGCAGGGGGTGGTTGTCATATCGCTCCAAGTCTATCGGTTGGACTGCCCGGTATCTCCAGATGGTCATCCTGGGAGGGCAAGGTCCGGGGAAATGCCGTCTGTGCGAATGGTTGGGAGCCTGACCGCAGTAGATGTCGAGCCTCTAATATAAAGTTGATGATGAGGGCGTCTTGCTCACCACCGTACCTAGCCTGAGCAGCCACCGCCGCAAGATCGAGCCTCTCTATTACAGATAGCTTTTCATGCAGGAAAGAAACACCAGCCATGGAGAAGCAGAATGAAGCTACAGGCCACCGCGTCGAGGCGACGACCTCCGCCTTGGACGACGAGAAGAACAACGCCCTCGCACACCGCCACGCGAAGGAAGTCAATGTCCAGTCCGTCGCCCTCGCCGACGCTATTGCCAAAGACAAACCCGACTACAAGTCAAAGTCACAAATGACGCTCTACGCAATGATGTGTCTCTGTGTTCTGAGTATGTCTCTCAAGCCCCATCAAAACCTCCCTTTCCATAAGACGTGATGACTTTGTAAAAAGATCAAAGACATCCCTTAGCTGACAATCTCCAACTCCACAAAAGACGGCATCATGAACAGCTACGACGGCTCCGTAATGTCCGCCATCAACGCAATGGACCCCTTTCAAGCCCGTTTCCGCATCGGCCTCACGGGCGAGCTCAACGGCGCCGTCTTCTCCATCTACACCGTCGGCAGCATCATCGGCAGCCTGCTGTGCGGGTACATCATGGACCGCTGGGGCCGCCGCGCCTGCATGTTCTCCGGCGCGTCCATGATCGTGTTGGGCTCCGTGCTGCAGGCGAGCAGCTTCCAGCTGCCGCAGTTCTTTATAGGCAGGTTTATCGTCGGTACGGGGACGCCCATGTGCGGGACGTCGGCGCCTGTGTTCTTGGTGGAGATTGCGTATCCTACGTGGAGGGGGTTGGCTGGGGGGTTGTATAATGTTTTGGGGTGGTATATTGGTGCCAATAGTGAGTTTTCCTTTTTTTTCTTTTGGTTTGCTTTCACTTGGATGGATGTCCTTGACAGGAAGCTGACTGTGAGTAAGTGGCCGCGTGGACATGCTACGGCACGAACTTCATCCCCAGCGACTGGGCGTGGCGCATCCCCTACATCGTCCAGCTCGTCCCGGCCACCATTGTCATCTCGGTCGTCTGGTTCCTGCCGGAGAGCCCGCGCTGGCTCTGGTCGCAAGGCCATACGGACCGCGCGGCGGCGATTCTGACAAAGTATCACGGCGACGGGAACCCGCACTCGGCGCTCGTCAAGCTCGAGCTCGACGAGATACGGACGTCGCTGGAGGCTGAGCAGGAGCTGAGGAACAACAATTGGAACTATAAGGTTCTCGTTAACAATCGGCCGAACCGGTACCGCATGTGGCTCATCATGCTTGTTGCCGTGTTTTCACAGTTTATTGGGGGATCAGTGATTTCGTACTACTTACCTGCGTGAGTAACACATTTACAGCACGAAGCAGGATGGTACATGTATTGATTGTGGATTTCTACAGTATGGTGCGCGGGGTTGGCATCACGGACTCGAGCCGACAACTCCTTCTCAACGGGATCAACACCGTCATATCCTTCGTCAGCGGCATCTTCGGCTCCTTCTTCGTCGACAAGGTCGGTCGCAGACCGCTGTTCCTCTGGGGCACCCTGCTCACGGGGCTCGTCTACATTCCCATCAACGTTCTCGCCGCGAAAGCAGAGCACCACCTAGACGAAGGCACCGCGGTCCCCAAGCCGCAGGCCTACGCCTTCATCGCCATGATCTTCTCGTACGGTATCTTTTGGGGCTTCTGCTGGACGCCGCTGCAGGCGCTGTACCCCGCCGAAATCTTGAACAACGAGATCCGAGCCAAGGGGATGGGCGCCAAGGGGTTCATCTCTGGCGTGGCGAGCTTTATCAATACGTACGGGACGTCTGTGTCGATTAAGCATATCGGGTGGAAGACGTATACGATTTTCTTGGTGTTGCATTTTGTGCATCTCGGGTTGATGTATATGTCTTGCGTTGAGACCAAGGAGAGGACGTTGGAGGAGCTGGAGGAGATTTTCAGTGATGCGAAGCCGGTGAAGAGGAGTTTGCAGAAGACTACTGTTGTTGTTGATCATGGGTTGGGAGTCAAGATCAAGGACGATGCTTGAGTACCGGGTTTCCTTTTTTGGACTACCTGAAGATCGGTACCCTAGCTTGGAATGAGCCATTGCTAGGACTATCCGCTCAGGACAAAAAGCCGAGGGGTGTCATGACTTCCTCTTATGGAGCGTTAGTTGAGAAGTGAGGAAGGACCGACCTGACGGTCTGAAGATTCTACAAAAATCAAAACTTGGAAAAAGAGTTAACAAGACCGGACCGATCGAGGTTTGAACATTGGATCCCGAAATAGACCGGAGACTTCACGGTCTAGCCGGGGCCTCTACAGCTCAGAACCCCCCGACCATGCGGCCCAATCTTGTTGGGATCTAGTGATGATTCACTCCCAATAAAAGGTGCCGACATTGAATGGGGAAGTTATACCTCAGGCAGCTTCCGCCATCTGCGTATTCGTCTCATGTATATTCAAGAAATCACAAGATCACAAGAAGCGGGAGTCATTGACGAGTCTCATATGATAGCTCTTCTCCGCTTCATCCAGTGATTCATGAGACATCTCAACGCAGTATCCTATTTACTGTCAAGTGACCCAAGCCTTCCCATCCGGAACCACACACTACAGACGAGAGAATCTGCTTGATTCAGGGTCTCCAAGGTCCTGAGCTCGATTCACCTTCTTCCCTCCTTTAACGCGCTCTCATTCGAGACTGAGGACTACTAAAGGCGTGTTACGCACAGCGACTTCGAAGGCTCTAAGCATCGAAGGAACTCAGTTTTAAAGGTAGTATGCGGACGGGTAGACAGCATTTGAATAACACCTGAAGCAAGAAACTTCACAAGAGATCGCCCTAGTTCAATTTGGTAGGGTCAAGACCCGCCTCGGCCCATCTGACCTTTACAACCCGGGTCATAGGGGCATATAACTTGCAGGGCGAATTCGACAGCTGACAGGTTTGGGCGTATGCAAACGCCTTGAAAACCCTCAGAGAGCCTTCCAAACTCGATGTGGGCTTGTCCATCCCACCGTAGTGTTGAGACGCGTTCTTCGTCTTCGATTTGGCTTCGATTTGGCTTAATAAAGAGTTGTGGTGAACTGTGGACTGACTACTTTGGCTGCTCGATACCGGTGTCACGTGTGAAGGTAGGTTTCGAATGTGACTCTTACACAAAAGACCAATTTAGAATTTGATAGGACAAGGGCATATATGATTCTCTAGATCGCAGGCAGCTAAATTGGAAGGTCATTACTTGACTCGGTCTGGTCGTGTGCCTGAGTCGCTCAAGCCTATGAGGTTGGATGTGCCTAGTAATAAAGTAAGGTTCTAACTCGTCCCATACTTAATATTTTCCCACGTGGCCCTGCGCATTGACTGAGCTCTCAATGGCCAAGATTCGCCGAGATGGAGTTCCCCGAGGCCGATAATTTAAAAGCTGCCATGAGTCGTGGTTGCTCGGCACTCGGTTGCCTAAAAAGAGAAGGAAAGGAAAAGAAAGTGGTGGATATTAAGCTTCATTCTGATACAGCCATAATTTCGTATCAACCACTTTCATTCCATTTACGCGGATTCCACGGAGAGTGGCATCCCACAATATGCTGTGCGATGAAGTATTGTCAAAGAGAGATTTATAGTTCACAGTTAGTCTGAGCTACATCCCTCATCCCGGTCGTTATATTCACGAACAAATTGAGGGTATGGATTGAAGAGAATTGATTTTTAGAGACTCTTAGGTACTTAATGCTAGTGTCTTGCCGCTTCTCGATTCACTCCTTCCAAAACGGACCTCCCATCAACGCCTTTGATTCCAGAGCTTCATCAGCCCCGAAACAAAATGCAATTCTCCTCAATCTCTGCGATACTGGCGCTAGCCACAGTCGCCACAGCTATCCCCGCAAGCGATGGGTGCCGCATGACGGAGGGCGTCAAGACCACCTGTGTCATGTCGAGCAACCGCATGGCCTGCGACTGGCCGGCGTCATGCCCGGTTGGCCAGAGGGTCAAGTTCGTCGACAACGCGCCGCAGTGCAAGGGTAAGGATTGGGGTACGCCTTGCACCGGATACTGGAAGTGTTGCCCTCGGTAAATGTCTTTGTTGGACTGAAGTTGGGAGGAGTGAAAGGTAATTCTCATAAAGAATAACTTTGCGCGTGTACTTTTGCAACGCCCGACTAATAATCAGCCTAGTATACCCTGCATATATGAGGATTTGGTGTCTGAGGTTCTGTGAATATAGATCCGGGCCTTCAGTGGGAGAAGTTGATGCTGGCTTAGCCCCCAGTGCATTGAGTCAACAGGGGCTGTTGTCCATAAGCTATCATAAAGAAAGATGTTTATATCGTGTGAGCCCTAGTCTCTGCCGTAGTGTTTCAAGTCTACGAAGGTACAAGGGAATGATGGAAATTGTCGTCAAATATGAAACCTGCAAATTTCCACCAAGAAAGATATTGGTATCCCTGAAGTTTGCTGACTTAAAGCCAGTTGTGAGACTTTAAGGTACGTCGTTGCTGAAATCTTTTGCTAAGAAAACTCCATTGCAACCTTTCACTTGTTATCACCACCATTTCCCGGCCGAAACGTCACACCTCGGTGGCTATGACGGAGAGTGTGTCAACTATTATGGAATTCGAAAGACTTCATATACCATTAAGACGCGCTAGGATTTGTGGCAAAGAAAATTAGCTTGTATGGGTTGATATTATGTTGCTATGCTGAGCTGCCACTCGTACCGATACAGCCCCCAATTCTCTCCGAGGCGAGGGGCTGGTATGACGCACGAATCCCAAGCTCAATCAGTTACCCGAGATGCTGACGATGGTAAACCTTGGTGTTGTCGATGCGCCACGCGACCGAGGCGCGTAAAACAAGCGACATTGTCCTTGATGCCTAGGTATCTTCGCTGACAAGCAAATTGAGGTCTTGTCCAGGGCTGCGGCAATGAGAATCGATCACGAGGAATTACGGAGTCTCTCCCTCCTCAAGTTCTCCAACTGTAGAACCCACTCAGGTGCATTTTCTTAACATAATCGTCTTCGTATGATCCGGTTCGATCATGTCGCCTCTCACGATATTCTTATACCGCTCCATGACACCTTCTGGCATTCGAATATCCTATTCCCATAGAAGTCTTGCAATGAGCATCTTAATCTCTGTAGCAGCAAAAAAAGCGGCCTGGACACGCGTGGCGGCCAAAGCCAAAGGCCATGTTCTCCTTGGTCGATGACACGAATTGATACTGTTCCTTGTTTGCATACTGTAATGGATCGCTGCGGGCCTCGCTGCGGATGGACACGAAGCGGTAGGGATCGAGTTGGGTTGATTCAGTGTAGTCAAGATTGTCTTGTAGTGGGCCGACCATGGGCACCGCGATGTTGGTGCCAGGCAGGAGCTGAGTGCCATCTTCAAGCGTCACTGGTTTTGTGATAGTTCGCATGAAGCTGATTAAGCTGGCGGGATTGAAACGTTGGGACTCGCGTAAGACTGAGTCGAGCAGCTTCATCTGGAAGAGGGCGCTAGTTGACCATTCGTTCTCATTGGCGGCTAGAACAGATATTGGACCTCTTTGCGGAGAGCGGGAATGACATCGGGACATCGTGCAGCAATGTCATACAACCTTTCGTCCGGTCAGTCTAATGAGCCACGCCGCCTCCTCGAACATTTTATGGCCTGGGGTGACCTACGTATGTGTGGCTGCCATTGTGGTGGTGTGCATAGCAACGACGCTCAAGCTGAGCTGCGTTTCGGCGAGCTGCTCATTCTTGCTCATGCCAAACTTGCTAGATTTGACAATGAACCATTGCAGCATGTCCTCTGGTACCTCGGTAACTTCTTTGTGCAATCTTTTGCGTGCTTCAATGACTGGGATCAGGACTTGGGCAGCGCGGCGTCTGTGTTCAGCCAACTTCTTGATCTCAGGGACATAGTGTTTGCCGATGAAGCGCAAGAACTTCGGCCACCTCTTTATCTTGGCCGCTGCCTGGAAGAGGTCGACGACAAACATAGTGCTGGCCTCTAGATACTCTTCTTTGTGGCAAAGCTCGGGGCCAATGAAGACGCGGCCGGAGATGACAGCTACCATTTTTAGTAGTTTCTCATAGAGTACTACCTCCTTCCATTCAGGACAGGGACCGATGTTGTCCAACACGGTGAGTTCGATATGGCTTGATAGCGTGACGGAGATCTTGCTGAGACTCGGCGTAAGATTTGATTTGATACGTTAAGTAAAAGGGTGTTGATTGGATGGTAATCCGTCCATCTGGTCTCGCAAAGCTAAGGCAGCATCAGCATCAACTCTGTAGAGTACCGAGTGAAATTCACGAACGGCTTCCAAGAGAGGAACGTTGTTGACAGTGTCATTCGGCATCGTCCGAAGATCGTCGCAATGTTGAAGCGGAATCATTACGATATCGCCTGTCATGGTGTGAGCTGCCTTAGCAGGCCTGGCGGCCACGAGTATTCTTCGGGTATACAATAACGTCATTACCTAATCGCGTGGCAGCCATGTCGTGACGGGCGGATAATGTCAATCTAACTATCTTACCGCCGAGAGAATCCTCAAAACTATAGGATTGAGAGCTGATCATGCTGGCGGTGTGCGTTACGATCTACGCAAGATTTCCAGCGGTGCCATTCACTCAATCGTGTACCTTGCCACAGTATCATGATGAAGGTGTCACCGTGCTCTGACTTTTGCACTTTGACGAGGAAAGTAGCAAAGCAGTCGACTTTTGAGAAAGTTGAAGCTTCGTCATCACTAACATTTTCAATCTGCTCGGAGCCGTCAAGCTTTGTGCAGTTACTACAGCCTTTGGACTTAGATTGCAACCATGGCATCTAAGTGGAACTGGTTGATGCGCGAACACGTCTGGTACATCTCAATCTCAGAGTACGCATCACGTTGCACCTTTCCGTTATGGAAGAACTTTTCGGCCCGAGGAAAGGCAACTGGTCTTGCTATCTTATCTTGGTCTGGCGGGAGCACTGGAGTCCTCTTCTTGTCGCTAAAGCCGACCCTTTTGACCTTTGAAGGGTCTCGGAAGCCCTCAAGGCCATTTAAACAAATTCGGCATGAACTAATCTCAGTATACTCAGCAGAATATCCAGTATAATCGTGCAGTGATACATAGAATGACCTGCTTGGTCGATCTTTTCGCTGATGCGGTAGATTGACAAGTCGTTTCTTAGACAGTCAGAGTTGGTGCGGCGAGGAGCTCCGCGGAAAATGACGCATCTTCCTGCCGCTCAGCTGCAACCAATGGGCACAAAGCTGCACGCGCTGACAGACCGACTAACTAGCCCTTCATAAACTTATGATACTCTCGACTGGATTGCTCTTATCCCGTTGCGTCAGCAAAATACTTCCCTTCATTTATGTTTCAACACACGCCACCTCCCTTGACCCCCCAGCTCTACTACAATAATAGCTCGGATGTATCCGAGTCGGCTGGCCAGCCGGTGCATCCGGATCTTGGTTCTGCAGCCTGGTCCGGACACTAGCCCTATTCAAATCGAACTTCAGGAAGCAAGTATCGATGACCTCCCAATGTTCGAGGCGCTGTCATATGTCTGGGGAGACCCATCAGAGCGGCGACAGATCGACTGCTCTGGACAACTTGTCTCGATTACCCAGAACCTTCACGATGCTCTGCAACACCTACGGCATCCAGACCGAGAGTTGTTGATATGGGCAGATGCTCTGTGCATCAATCAAGAGGATATGGACGAGAGAGCAGACCAAGTACAACTCATGAGAGACATTTACTCGCGTGCTGAGAGGGTAGTGGTATGGCTAGGCCTGGACAACGAAGGCCGGGCCCCCCGTGCGATGTCTTTGATCGAGACGATTCATCAAGCTTGCGAAGATCACGCATTAGCTAAGAACATCGATCTTGTGACCATGGCTCACTTTACGCCGGCGACACAAGCGCTAGAAGGACTCGCAGGGATCTCTATCGAGAATGTTGCTGCGGCTGGGATGCGTTTGAGTAAACCAGAGCCGAAGGCAGAAGACTGGGAAGCGCTGGGGTGGCTGCTGTCTCGACCTTGGTTCACGCGAGTTTGGTGCGTGCAAGAAATCGTTCTCGCCCGATCTTCCAGAGTTTACGTCGGCTCTGTATCCTTAGACTGGGTCAAGCTGGGAGTCACGGCTGCCTGGTTAAGCGAGCAGCATCTTGCAAATGACTACGATGTGCCGGCTGAGATCGAAAATATGCCATTTGACAATGCGCATGCCATGTTCGACACAAGCGATATACCAGAATCAACTTTCTTGGAAATTCTCATTGCTTTTCGAGATCACCATGCCACAAACTTGAGGGACAAGGTCTATGGGCTGTTGGGGCTCATGCGCCCAAAAGACCTCGAGCTTTTCCCGAGTGTTGACTACCGAAAAAGTGTGGCAGAGGTTTACGCCGACGTTGTCATTACTGCTGTCACAGACAGTAAAACATTGGCTTCTTTGTGCTATGTCCAACATGGAGTCGAGTACAAACAAACCGATGTTCCTTCATGGGTACCAAGATGGGATGTGAGTGGCGACGTGTCATCTATTCTCGATAGCCGATCCCTGACAGCCTGGAAAGAGGGCGACAAGCATGGTCTCCCGGAACTGACAGATTTTAACCCATCATCAGATGGCAAGTTAGCCGTAGCTGGTGTCAGATTCGACACCATTGCTTGGATAACCCGCGCTCTGGACGTTCAAGACTTCAAGGAAAGATCCACAGGCTCTGAGGTGTCACCTCATCCGATGCTAGATCTATGGCATCGTGCGTCTTCAAACATGTCGTATCCAGAATCTCAATCTGAAGACTCGCTGATGGCCGTGTTGATGATGGCTCTCACTCTGACTGCTGGGGTTACTGTTGGGTATGAGCGTGTGGAAGAGCTCGAATCATCTGACGACCGTGAGCAGTTTCATGCAGACTACCTGACATACGTACACAGCTTACTTGAGGTTTCTGGCCTAGAGTCTTCAACTTTCGAGCCTCTCAATATCGCATTGAGTGACGGGAACGCCTCGCGATTCAGAGTCGCAGCGTCCCGCGCTTGCGACCAGCGATGTGTCTTTGAGACAGCAAAGAGGTTCTATGGACTAGCACCAGCCTGCGCAAGAGAAGGAGATGTGGTTGTGATGTTGTACGGTGGCCCATCCCGTTCGTTCTTAGAGAAGTTAACAACGGGTGGTGGCTACTGGGCGACTGTTTCATCGATCCGCTCATGCCCGAGGCTGCTGACGATACGATCAGAGCTCGGTTCGGCGAGGAGGAAGTCTTTTTGCTTGTCTAGATATGACTTGAAACGTGTGCAGCATTATGTCAGTACATCGTAATTCAAAGACCTCAAATATTCATTTCGGTTCCCATTATCCTGAACCCCGTTTATTCAGTAAGTTCCCCTCAATCGAGAACTACCGAGGTGGACCTCGCTTTGCTGTGCCCCTGGCCTGCGTAACTTGCCCCAACGAGTTACACACAAGTGATTACATCATTTTTTGGCATGAAATGCTCTATGTGAAGAAACTTGTTGGTCGCCACGATCTTGAACCACGCATATTGGCCGATGCCATGACTTTTATTTCCGGGTCGGGGCTGAAGGATCTTTGGAAAGCGGAGTTACTCACATAAAGTCGGGGAAGTCCCAACGAACCCCTCAAAAACGCTCTTAATGAATCCTTCTCCAGAAAGAAAGATCAAACTTTGGACATTGTTTGATTGACAAGAAGTAAACGAAACTCTTCAGAATGCACTCCATGTCAGAACCTCCGGAAATCATCACCCCGCAGGACCAGGCGGGGTCCACTGGGTACCAAGAAAGCTGGAGCTTTCTGGACGATGTGAAGGTTAGTCATCGCCTTGTAGTGGCCATTCAAGCCAGTAATGTGAACGGTATTGGTTTTCCTGACCGACAATTCAGCGACGCTTCGAGGCAACTCGGCCGGAGGTTTATGCGGCCTTCATCAAGGCCCTGAGTAACTTCTACACTTCAACACAGAACCCAACCGGAAACTCTGAGGCGGTGCTCTTTGAGACCCACGAGACAGTAAAGGCATTGCTGCAAGGGCATGACGACTTATTAGAAAGATTCGAAAGCAGTCTTCCCCAAGAATATCTTTACCGAAGGCATGAAGCAGCGGCAACAAGGCAAAGCTAGTACCCTGTAAAGGCAGTCTTTACATTATACATGCAGTCTCTTATCTCACATCAAGCCACATCGGAGGAGCGTCATATGACAAGATAGACTCGGCTCATCTGTGTTCGCATGAGCCCGGGCCAACGGAAGGGCTCGGTTCACAAGCATCTTGGTGTCTGCTTCTGAGCTTATCCGGTTCATGAAGCGTCCAGTGCCCTTTTCCGTGTTGAATGCCTTGTTCGCGCAACGCTTATTTCTTATCCCAATGTCCGAAGTTTGACATACCCAACATCTTCCTGGAAGCTTTACCCAACATGCGGAGATCCTCCGCCATTCCCACATCCAAAATCACCCAACCAACCGTGACTCGCCAATGCCGCTTTCTCCACAGCTGCCAATTGCTCTTGGCGCACTTCCCCTCTTTCTGAACAAAAGTAGAGTCTCAATCCTACCGCCAGCTTGTGAGACATTACTGCCGGCTGTTTCTCACTTTTTCCAGAATGGGCCTAGGAAGATCCCTGAGAACCCTGGTTGTTCTTGCCCATCAGCAACGCTTTTTTGCATTTCACGTACGGGGTTTTATAATGCCATCCAACTATAGGCCATGTTGTCAACCCCAGACTTTTGCAACTCCAGTCTGGGGTGGCGGGGTGACTCGACCATGTGGGGATGAAGAGCCAAGGTTTCTTGATATTGACACGCCTTGAGAAGCCATTTACCGTATATGTCAGCCAGAACAGATGTACCTCTCCAGATACCGAGACCTTCCAGTGTGATGTTTCGGATGCTACATCATGCCGGCTTTTTAAAGAAATCCTATACTTTTTGTCCGCCGTATCTTTATATAGATCAGTCAGTGACCCTCACGGATCCGGAACCGTCCGTCCCAAACAATCATTGTGCAACTCTTAGCATTATCTCTCATTTAATCCCTTGTATAGGTCTGGAAGAATTGCTCAGTCATAATGGCCTTAAAAGGCGAATCTGAGGTGCGCCATCTACGTAAGGCAGCTGAAAATGAAGTCGAGGAAAAGCTTGGTCAGTCGGCCATTCACGAAGCCAAGCAAGCTTCAGACGATGAACATGCGCAGACCCTTCGGCAGGCACTCAGCGAGAACCGCAAGGCGGTGTTTTGGTCTGTTATGATATCCATGTCCATTGTGATGGAAGGGTGAGTAATTTCTGTTTTGGGTCTTCGGAAAACCCGAGATACTTGCTCAACGTTGATTGCTTTCAGATACGACGTCATCCTAATCAACAACTTCTTTGCCTATCCAGAGTTCCAAAAGAAATATGGCAGTTGGTATGGCGAGGAAATTGGCTATCAGGTCTCTGGACCGTGGCAAACAGGTCTAACTATGGCTTCCACGGTCGGTGCCATCTTTGGTTCGTGCTTCCGATCTGTTGGCCAACCCCCCAACTGGAGACTGACACCGGCCAGGCGGGTTGATGAATGGATACTTCGCATCCAAATATGGCTATCGATGGGTCATGATCGGCGCCATGTTCTTCTTGAACTGCTTCATCTTTGTGGTATTCTTTGCGCACTCTGCCGCCATGCTTCTAGTCGGGCAAATTCTTTGCGGCCTTTCCTGGGGTGTTTTTGCAACGCTAAGTCCAGCTTATGGTAATCCTCATCACTCATATCTGAAACCTTCTAAACTACTGACTGGCCATGCCATAGCTTCCGAAGTCTGTCCCACGAACCTTCGCGGTTACATGACTACATATGTGCGTTGTATCTATGGGCTGCCATCAAGTGCCACGACTAAACCCGAGTTAGGTAAATCTTTGCTGGGCAACAGGTCAGCTTATTGCTGCTGGTGTTCTCCGCGGTTGTCTAAGCATTGAAGGCGAGATGGCTTACCGGATCCCTTTCGCTATTCAATGGGTGAGTTTGCCCTAAGAGTCTACCTGGTACTAGTTGTCAAGTCGCACCACCTAATAGAAACCTCGTCACAAGCTCTGGCCTGTCCCTCTGATGGTTGTTTCATATCTGGCACCTGAGAGTCCGTGGTATCTAGTCCGAAAAGATCGCCTCGAGGATGCTAGACGGTCCATCGAGCGGCTCAGTGGCGACAAGACTCAAGACCAAATCAATGCCCAGCTAGCAATGATGGTTCACACAACTAAGGTCGAATCTGGCGTGACAAGAGGTGTGACATATCTTGATTGCTTCAAGGGCATTGATCGTCGACGCACTGAAATATGCTGTGTTGCGTTTGCAGGCCAAGTCATGTCTGGCAGCAGCTTCGCTTACACTCCGACGTACTTCTTCACTACCGCGGGAATGAAGACTGCGAATGCGTTCGAACTGAGTCTGGGAGCAAAGGGGATGGCTTTCCTTGGGACCGTTCTGTAAGAGTCCCGGTGTTAAAAAGTCCGACAATTGAGGTCGAGCTAACTCTGTATGTTTAGATCATGGTGGCTCATCACTCATTGGGGACGACGTGCGATTTATGTTACTGGGATTGGAGCCCTCACTGTTATCTTGTTCATTATAGGCATTCTTGACGTGTCCGCTGGTGAGAAGGGTCTTTGGCCATCTGGCGGTCTTTGTGTCTTCTGGCTTTTTATTTACGTGAGTGGGACTCCCTGTTACATCAGAAATACCAAAATCAAAAGGGCGAAGCTGACGACTACAGTCTCTCACCATTGGACCTATTACTGTACGTCACTGAGACCCAAGTCCCTTTAGTCTCCCTGTCAACCTGGCACGTAGGAAGAGGGATCCTAACAAAGGCAACAGTATAGCGTCATCAGCGAGACGTCTTCGGTTCGGCTTCGTCCACTTACAGTCGTACTATCGCGAAATGCCTACCAGCTTGTCAATATTGTCTCACAAGTCCTACAGACTTACATGATGTGAGTACCACCTCGCTGAAACGGATATTAATCGCGAAAACAGATGCTTATTGACGATGTGAAGGAACCCTACAGAGTGGAATCTGAGAGGCAAGGCCGGCTTCTTCTGGGCGGGAACCGCCGGGATCATCTTCATTTGGTCATATTTCCGGCTACCTGAGTGTAAAGGCCGTACGTACGAGGAGTTGGACATGCTCTTTGCAAGAGGGATCCCGGCTAGAGAATTTTCAAAGGCTCACGTGGATGCTTACGAGGAAGCTTCGGATCATGTCGAAGATGTTATGGAAGCAACACCACGGAAGCAGGACTCTTGAATTACGCGCTTTGCTATGATAATTCGAGATAGTCCACCCAGCGCTGCTAATGCCGCAAGAGAGGCCACCCAACTCACTCAAGATTGTTGATTCTGGCCTTAAAATTTATAAAGGCTTCTGGCCAGTGACGACAATGAAGTCGAAGATGGGGTGAACGTCTCTCTTTCTTACCGCCGCTCGAACCCCAGCATTGAGGACAGTGACCTCCTCTGGAGACCATCCCAAAACGTCCTTGAACAGCGCGGCGGTGAATGCCTCTACCCCTTCCAGGAAATTAACTCCCATAAGCGTGCCGACCTCCTTCAATCTGGCGTCTCTCGGCCAGCTGCCGATGGGCAGCTTGAATCTTTGCTCGCCCACCTTCTGGAAACCAGCCTCTTCAGTCCAGCGCTTAAAGGATGGTGCTGGGTCCATTGTTCTCCCAATCTTCTCACAGGCCTCCATGAGTCCGTCCATCATCTGGACCATGGCGTTGTCAGGCTTAAGTGAGCCATCTTCGGAGTACAGAGTGTTTGCAGATTCCTGGAATTCGACCCAGCCGCCAGGTTTCAGGTTCTCGTAGATTTGGTTCACCAGCCGAGGCCAGTCCTTGATGGAACCTGCCATGTAACGACAGTGGATGTAGTCGTATTGCTCGGGCTCCGCCCAGTCTAGCTCAACGTCGTCGATGATGAACTTGACATTCGGCGGCACCCATTGTGGCTGGATGGGGCTGAGGTCGTTCCCGACAATCACTTCGGCCTCGGGGTGCTCGTCACCAAACTGGATAGGCCAGATACCCGTGCCGGTGCCGATATCGAGAACCTTCAGTCCCTCTGTTTTGATGGGCGCAAGGTACAGGCGATCATGCATCAACCTGAAGAAGACATGATGAATCATATCAAGCCGGTCCTGTTCCTCCTCGTCGTTGGGAAAATTGTAAGAACCGGATTGATAGCCATGGTACCGGCGACCATGCTTCCATTCGTATGTTGACGT